GGAAAATTTATTTTATTTTATTTTATTTTTGAATTTGTATACCGCCCTTCTCCCTGAGGACTCAGGGCGGTGAACAGCCAAATAAAAACATCAAATACAAATATTAAAATACAGTTAAAAAATATATATATAAATTTGGCCCCATTAATTAAAACAATAAACCAAACAATTAAAAACACTTAAAAAGAATTAGGCCAGCCCGGCTTGTTGGAAAAGGAAGGTTTTAAGGGCACGGCGGAAGGCACTGAGGTCATGGATTCTCCTTATCTCAGGGGGCAACTGATTCCAGAGGGTGGGAGCCCCCACAGAAAAGGCCCTCCCCCTGGGGGTCACCAGCCTGCATTGTTTGGCTGATGGCACCCCGAGGAGGCCCTCTCTGTGGGAGCGCACGGGTCGATGGGAGGTCGTCGGTGGCAGCAGGCGGTCTCGGAGATAGCTATAAGATGGCCATAAGTCACTTTTTTCAATGCTATTGTAATTTTGAATGATCAACTAAATGAACTGTTGTAAGCCAAGGACTACCAACTATATATATATATATAACCACGAACATTTCCAATCCTTTCCTTTGGAAAGAAATAATATTGTCTAGAAGTAATTTACCTTCCCCCAACCTATCAGCCTTCAACATCTTCATTTAATGGCTTTCAGACAGGGGTGAAATCCAGCAGGTTCTGACAGGTTCTGGAGAACCAGTAGCAAATTTTGAGTAGTTTGGAGAACCGGCAAATATCACCTCTGGCTGGCCCCAGAGTGGGCTGGGAATGGAGATTTTGCAGCATCCTTCCCCTGCGATTCCCACCAAGCCAGGCCCACAGAACCGGTAGTAAAAAAAATTGGATTTCACCACTGCTTTCAGGTAGTATATATATATATATATATATATATATATATATATATATATATATATATATATATATATATTATATATATATATATATATATATATATATATATATATATATATATATATATCTACTACCTGAAAGCAGTGGTGAAATCCAATTTTTTTTACTACCGGTTCTGTGGGCCTGGCTTGGTGGGAATCGCAGGGGAAGGATGCTGCAAAATCTCCATTCCCAGCCCACTCTGGGGCCAGCCAGAGGTGATATTTGCCGGTTCTCCAAACTACTCAAAATTTGCTACTGGTTCTCCAGAACCTGTCAGAACCTGCTGGATTTCACCCCTGTCTGAAAGCCATTAAATGAAGATGTTGAAGGCTGATAGGTTGGGGGAAGGTAAATTACTTCTAGACAATATTATTTCTTTCCAAAGGAAAGGATTGGAAATGTTCGTGGTTATACCATAATGAAAAGTATATAAAAAGAACTGACACTAATCCAGTATGACTGAACTTCATCATATACATTTTAATAATATATATTGTATTGAAATGTTACAGTATCAGGTGGTTTAGGAATATAACAGGTGTGCAGGTGAGATTTTCTGAATTTATTTTTATAAATCTACAACAGGAATAAAACTGTAAAAAACATATCTCATCTTCAGAAAAGCAGCAGTTTTTATTAATCATCGTATCTTGTGCATCATCTCCTCTCTGGATCAGTGAGGAGAGTTTTAGAGAAGATCACCAACAGGTTTAAAATCTGGTTTCACAAATATTTTACGCAATGATCAAATCGTTGAAGACCATTTTAATTGAGTTATTGTTATCCAATTTGTAGACAAATTGGATTGTAATCCCTTTCATTTGTAGACAAATTGGATTGTAATCCCTTTCACCTCCTACTCCTCCTTATTCGTTTGCTGGCAGTTACTTCAACTAATACTTTCTTGTTTCTAGCACTCGGTAAGAATTGCATGCCTGTTGGGTTTCCAGGCGTAAAGCTGGAATGTATAACTGAAAGAAAAATTGAACGTTATAACAACCACTCTTCAGAATAAAGAATCCTGGTAGTTCTCAATTTATGACCACAATTGAGCCCAAAATTTCTGTTCCTAAATGAGACTTTTGTTAAGTGAGTTTTGCACCATTTTACGACCTTTCTTGCCACAGTTGTTAAGTGAATCAGTGCAGTGGATTAGTTAGTAATCAGGTTAAGTGAATCTGGCTTCCCTATTCACTTTGCTTGTGAGATGATTGCAAAAGGAGATCACATGATCCCAGGACACAGCAACCATCATAAACATGAACCAGATGCCAAAGTGTCTGAATTTTTATCATGTGATCATGGGGATGCTACAAAGGTTGTTAAATGTGAAAAACGGTCATAAGTCACATTTTTAGTGCTGTTGTAACTTTGAACTGCCATTAAACGAACTGTTGTAAGTCAAGCACTACCTGTACTTGTACAGTAAAGGCTCTGAATGGGTCTAACTAAATTTAGAATGTGAATTTTGTCTTTTCAACAAAACAGTAGGTTTTTTTTGCTACTGGTGTTCAAGCTGCAAGTCAGCTCGATTTCTTGCTTTATATACTGGATTTAGGTATGCATGATGAATGGGTGTACACAGTGCCCCCAGTCATATCTAGTTTGATGATATGATAATTCTTTTCAAAAGCCATGAAAGTGCATCTTTACTAGCCAAGCTTTGTTAAGTGTTAACATTACCATGGGTTCTACACAGCATTGATATGGCTAAACAAACTCTAAAATGGGTGTTTGAAAATGGAATTATTCTTTAAAGCAGTCATATTCTTTGACAGACTCCCAATGTCTCATGATGAGGAATTATGGATGGATGGATGGGAATGTATCTGCTTTTGAGAAAACTGATCATATTACTATTAAATTTATTTGCCTCCTATCTTGCCATCAGGCATACTCATAACCATAACGAGGCGGGTCATATCCATAAACAAAAATGAAGAAATTAAAAAGAAAGTTTAAACAAAACAAGGGGGGAAAAACAAAGAAAATACATTGATTATACACACACATACTCGTAGGCTTAGACATTTTGCTGGCTCAGGTGAGCCTTGGTGGCGCAGTGACTAAGTAGCACTTAGCTGCCAGCTGCCTGCAATTACTGCAAGTTCAAATCTCACCAGGCTCAAGGTTGACTCAGCCTTCCATTCTTTCGAGGTAGGTAAAATGAGGACCCGGATTGTGGGGGCAATAAACTGACTTTGTATAAAAAAGAACACCGCTTGGGGGGGGGTGGGTGAAAGCCCTACTAAGCAGGTATATACAAACGTATGAAGGCTATTGCTTAATGCATTGTAAGCCGCCCTGAGTCTCCGGAGAAAGGGCGGCATATAAATCGAACTAATAAATAAATAAATTATCATTGGCCATAATACAACATGTGGCATAAAATACATAAATCTCTCAACAACATGCTAAATTTCCATGAATTTTGACAAGAAGGTATTAGCCTTTCACGTGAATAAATGTACATGGAGGGCCTGTGCTGTCTGGGTTCAGGATTTGCCTTGTTATTGCTGTTTTCTAAAGAAAATACTTTGTGCTTACAGTCCAAGTATCCAAAGTAAGCAACAAAACAGCCAAACAAACCCCAAGGAGAAAATCAAAGGCTTGCAGGAAGTTCATTGGAAAAGCGGTTGGCGCAGCTGCCCTAAGCAGTTGCCTCTAAAAAATTTGATCCAAAATAAATTAATGCCCATTGGACCTTCATTCATTCATTCATTAATAATGCTGACTCTACGCATTGGATCTACTTATTCCATGTTATCTTCATTGGATTAAAATTAGCTTCTCTCTCTATGCTGGGGGTAAATTCAAAGACGTGAAATGGCCTGTAATGTAGAATTAGCTCAATGAAAGGTAGCCGAGGGCAAGTAGCTAGCTAGCACACCAGTTCCAACCCAATGCTAAATATTTTGATAATGGCAACAATCCCTCCTTTACTGAATGTATTTCTTGCACGCAGAAAGAATTTAAGGGAAGTGCATGGAGGGAGTCTTGATAGTAGCAAAATAATTTTGAGTAGGCAGCTTCTCAATGAGCATACTGGAGATTGCCAGAAATCTGCATAATGATAGAGAATATTTATAGCTCAGAATTGAATTGAGGGATCCTTGGTGCTGAGTTTGCTTCCTTTCAGACCTGTCATGATGCAAATTAGGCAACTTCATTAGTCCTGGAAAGGAGTGGGGGTTTGTGGAGAAGAGGACTGTGCCTGGGGTATTTGGTGCTCTCGAAGCCTGATTGCTTTCTTGCAGACATCTCATGACCCCACTAGGTTACATCATCAATGCATTGTAAAGGAAACCCTTGCAAAACAAGCAAACCAACCAACCAACCCAAGCTTAGAGAGCACCTAAGTGCTCCACGGAAAGAAAACTGGTTCTTCTTTTAAAGCTCTCAGTTCCAGAAATTGCTAGCCAATAATATGTGCTGGGAACATTGATGCCCTACGCCCTGATGCTGCTCCCTACTTGGGTCATGAAACGTCTGCAAAAAAAACCCTCCCAGCTCAGAGAATCTCAAGGACCCCGCAGACATTTATGTCTCCCTATTTAATTTTCCCAGGGCGGCGATTTAAGCAAATTAAGCATAAAATTAAGCAGAAACATTAAACTCCTTCTATTTCCCTCCCTTCCCCCACCCCCCTTTTTCGATTTGAATCCGAGCGGGAAAAGCCGTTGCGGAGAGGGGGCGGGGCCAGTGGAATGTTCGCTGGGTGGGCAGGGAAGGGGGGGCGGCGGCCAAGCGCCAGTGCGCGTGCGCCGCGGGTGACGCGACATCAGCTGTCAGTAGGGCGGGGCCAGAGCCGGCGGCCAGTTCCGGGGACGGACGAGGGCGGGCCAGCGAGGGACGGTCGGACTCCTCCTCCTCCTCCTCCTCCGAAGACGGCCGCCGGCTCGCCTCGCCTCGCCTGCTCCGCTCCTGCGGTGAGTGGGGGTGGGGGGTGGAAATCAAGGGCCGCCCCCAACCGTGGGAAAGAAGGTAGCCCCCCTCCCCCCTGGAGAGACCCTATCTCCCAATGGCTGGAATGCTTGGAGCCAGGAGCGCCTCCTTTCGCCTCCCTTTTCCTCTCTCTCTCTCTCTCCCCTTCTGTCTATCCTCCTTTCTCTCTCTCTCTCTCTCTCCCTTTCCCTCCCCTTCCCTTCTCTCTCATCTTTCTCTATCCATCTCTCCTCCCTTTCTCTCTCTTTCTCTTCTTATTCCTCCACTCTCATCCATCCATCCATCAACATCATCTCTCTCTTCCTTGCTCAGACCAGGTTGCCTGAAATATTCAAAAATGCCTTCTGAATCTCTCTCCATCCATCTATCCTCCCTTTCTTTCTTCTCCTACTCTTTCACTCTCATCTATCTATCTATCTATCTATCTATCTATCTATCTATCTATCTATCTATCTATCATATCTCTTTCTCTCTCTTCCTTGCTCAGACCAAGTTGCCTGAAATATTCAAAAATGCCTTCTGAATCTCTCTCTCTCTCCATCCATCTATCCTTCCTTTCTCTCTTTCTCTTCCCACTCCTTCACACTCATCTATATCTATCTATCTATCTATCTATCTATCTATCTATCTATCTATCTATCTATCTATCTATCTATCTATCTATCCTCCCTTTCTCTCTCTCTTTCTCTTCCTATTCCTCCACTCTCATCTACCTACCTACCTACCCACCTCCCTCTCTTGTCTCTCCCTCCCTCTTTCTCTCTATCCCTCTATTTATTGATCTCATTTCTAAACTGCCCCTCAGAGAAATGCATGAAAGGGACCATTTCTTTAGGAGAGAAAGGGGGAGGCCCCACTGGTCTTACTGGGGCTTTTGCTCTCTGGCTCCTGTGACTCACAGAAATGGCCTCCCCCGCCCCCCACCTCTGCAGAAGGGGAGCCTGCTGGGATAGGCAGGCTTGGCCTTCTGCCCTGGGGGTCCGCCAAGAGGGTCTCCTTCCCCAGGGCACAGGGAGGGTCTCCTCTGCACGGCTGGGGAGGGGTGAGAGTAGAGCAGCGTCTACTCGCCCAGCACAAAAGGCTTCTCATTCCAAGGATTAATTAAAAACAACCTTTCAATTGTGGATGACCTCGGAGCTCAATTCTGGCCAGTCACTTCCGCTCATCCCTGTCTTCTTCCCCAGGTCACAGGGAAGAATAAATCGAGGGGAAGAGGGATGTCCATCGCTCGGAGCACCTTGGCGAAAGGGTGGGGTCCATTGGAAGCCAGAAGGAATCCTTTGCTGAAATTAGAAGAATAGTTGAGTAGCCACGGAAGGGCTTGGTCTTCCTGAGTAGGTGGTGATGACTAAATGCAATATGAGTTTTAATGTCTATGGCAGTGTTAAGAGTTAATACAAAAGCTGCGTTGTTGTTTTTCTTTTGGAACTCTGTTTATTTTTTTAAAACATGCATGCAGCGCCTCCCCCCCCCCCCCCCCCCCCCCAACCAACAGTGTTGTCTAGAAATTTAACCTCGGAGGTGCTTTTTCCAAAAGGCAACTGAACTTTCTAGGCTTTTTCCCCCCCTTTGAACACGTTTCGCTTCTCATCCAAGGAGCTTCTTTATTTCTGAAGAAGAAAAAAAAAAGGGTGTGTGTGTGAAATCCAAGAAAGTCCATCTGCCTTTTGGAAAAAAGCAGCTTTGGCACAACCATGACTTCTGGATGATTGAGAAACTCCGTAGACAATAGTTGAGAAATATTTATTTTAACCCCCACCGCCTTTCTTATCTCTGCTTCTTGCCATTAAAAGCAGGGGGTTCTTGCCATTTAGGGCAGGGGTCTCCGACCTTGGCAACTTTAAGACTTGTGGACTTCAAGTCCAAGAGTTCCTCAGCCAGCAAAGCTCTGGGAGTTGAAGTCCACAAGTCTTAAAGTTGCCAAGGTTAGAGACCCCTGCTTTAGAGACTCAGGGATCTCCACAATCCAAAGAGACTTTCTAAATCATGGGGAAAACACTCCTGGGTTCTCCCCAGTTTTTCAGAAGAAGTCTCTGTGCTGTCTGGAATTAACTCTTCCGTGAGTTCCCTAACCTAGGATCCAAGTTGTTCAGCCCTAGAGCAAAATCCACACCTAACCCACGGATTGGTAGATGCCTGTTCTGTGACAAGGTATAATGATTAACAAAATGTGGCTCCCTGAGTGGGAAGCAGACATGAAACCTTTCTATGCCACAGGTCTCTCTAAATCAATAGCCAAGTGGGAAGATTTCCAGAGCAGCATAGAAAGGTGGAAAAAGGTGAGAGCAGATGTCAGCTCCTATTGCAGGGCCAGCTAATCCCTCTACTAGATATAGAAGATCTTTAAGAGGATTAAAAATTGTTTTTATTCTCCTTATTACAGTCCTTGGAAGTTGCCTTTAGAAGAGCTGTTCTAATACAATAATGAAGGTTGAAATAATAACGAGAGTCATCATTAACTTGGTTTTAAGCATGCATATCTGAAAATAGACATCTTATGCTCCACTCAAGAAAAGCGTTCATTTAAATAAAAGATATATTATTTTAAGGATATGGCAATTTCTTCTAATGTATAGAAACTGCATAGATCATGCCTTTAGCATTTCTCTTTTGATCAAGTGGGAAGAAAGAATCATTGATTTATCACTGGCTGATTGTAAAGTGATCAACATCCAGTAGTAATTCTGATGATCACGGTGATATGATATGGATTGTCAGAGTATGAATTCATAAACATATTGTAATCTATTTTTAGTAGCTTTTCTTGTTTTTGTAGAAAGTATAACTTTAAATTTCATGTTCATTTCGGTATCAGTAGTTAAATTGCATCTTCTCCATCGAGTAACATAAAATAATGGCTAAGTAACTGACCTAATTAAGTACTGCAGTTTAATGTATCTAATCTGTTTATATATTAAATGGTTTAAGTGTTAAAAGTAGAATGTTGAATTAGAAATTACAAATGATATTGCTGATCCTAATTGGGAGTTAGAATTTACTTCAGAAGATTTTTTAAAATGAAAATAATACATTAATTGGAATAAAATAGCCGAGAATCCGAGGGTTTTCAATTATGTTTCCTAATCATTTTTTTCCCTTCCCCAAATAATTTGTTCTCTTGCTCAAGCTTAGTAACTGGCTATCTTTCTAAATAGTATTGATTAACGCCAGGCAAGTGAAGAAGTTAATTTGAGAAGATCTAGTAGGCTGTGCAGATTCAGTTCCAGGAAGGTGTTTGAGAAGGTGTGGAAATGTGAATGTTGCTCTTGTCTGCAGCTCTTTAAAGCAGCTATGTCATTGTCAAACATCTATCAGCAGAGAAAGGAAGATCAGCATTGCAGTGGAGTATGAATGGCACAGTTCAGCCGAGGAATTTGTGAATGTTACTTGTCTGTCCTTCAGCCTGGAAGTGCTTTGAGGAAAAAAGCTTAGGTTTTAGTGAGCAAGGAATGCAGGCTGATTTCTCCTTCCTTGTGCTTTGGAGATTCTTCCGGTAAATGGAGGGGAAACAATGGCTTAGTTGTCATTACTTTGAAATCCAGAATGAGGCCATCATCAGATGGATTGATTTTATTTAATCAAAAAGGCTCTCCTGGGGGAGGGCAATGCAGGATGATGAGTGAACTATCTTCTCCCCCAGGGGAATAATAGCAGCCAATGTTACATCTTGGTTGGAGTAGTACAGTTGGTCATCAACTTATGACCATCATTGAGCCCAAAATTTCCGTTGCTAAGCGGGATAGTTGTTTAGTGAGTTGCGTTTCATTTTACAACTTTTTTTTGTCACAGGTGTTAAGTAATTTGTTGCAGTTATTAAGTGAATCATGCAGTCATTAAGCAAATCGGGCTAATCCTCTTGATTTTGATGGTGGAAGCAGCTGGGAAGGTTACAGATGGTGAGCACATCACCCCGGCTATGCAACGGTCATAAATATATACTTGTTGCCAAGTGCCCAATTTTTTTTAAATGTATTGTTTTATCGTAGAAAATAAAATACAAAGCAGTAAAACAAACAAAATGAAACAAAACAGAAACATACCTTCAACCCTGGTTGCCCATGATGGAGAAATTAGTGGCTGTGTTATCAGGTACTTGAGCAAAAACCTGTGAATATACAATGCTATTAATTTCCAGTGCCCCTCCATAATCTATATGTTAGTTTGTATTTATTTAAACTGCAATCACACAAATCATATGGCCAGTTTTGTCATGTATAGAGTGCTTAAAATGACTTACGAGCATATTTAATAATATAGGTAAAATAAATAATATTATTGTTATAAGATATTATTTTTGGACTGTTGGTTGTTTGTGTCCTCTGAATGAGATTGTTTTCCTGCAGACTTCTCATCACCACACTATGTAACATCAGTGAAGATTGGAGAGTGAAGAGGTTTGCTGGTGGTTTGTTTACTGTAGTTGAACCCACCATCTTGGTGGGGCATCGGTTCTTCCTTGATGGTTCCTTGGTTAGGACACTGCTTCTTTCCTGATTGTTTCTCTTATGCTGGTTCCTGCTTTTCTGGATGTTGGCTGCTAGGGAAGATTAGTGGTTTCCTCCCTGGTTTTTTAAATGTTGCGTAGACAGGTTTACCTCTGTGTTTCTGTTGATGGCTGACTTGTCAGAGCTTCCAGACATCATCTGGTCATTGGAAGATATGATGAGCATTCCTTGATCTCTCAGCGCATAAACACATTGAACCACAGTTTCATTTCTGGAATTGTTGACATGTTAGGTTGAAGCAGATTGAAAAATGCCGGCAGTATTTGAAACTTATATCACATGGAAGGATGACAGGATATGTCAAAGAAAATGTATTAATGGACATCTTTGCTTCGCTGGTTACTAAAGTGCAGAACAAAACTTTAGAAACTTTCTAATTTGTTATCATTGAAGATTCTCAGTCATCCAGGTAGAGTTGAATGGAAGTTGAGACAAGGCAACTGGACTTATATTTCTTTTTTAGTTTGAAATGTTTTGCTGCTTATCCAAAGTAGCTGCTTCTGTCTGAGCAAATTGGTTGGGGGGCAGGGGCAATATATGTCCTCCAGGCAAGTTTTAATCTCACCTAATAGGCTCCTTAGGTGAGTAGATATTGAGTCCTTAAGAGTCCTTGCTCCTAAATCCTTTTTTGTTCCAATCTGTTCCTAATTTTTCAGGAAAAAAAACAACAACAGACTGCCGGCAAACCTTTCTGCGAGCACAATGGCACTATACATTGTCTTCTGTCTTGTTTTAACTGGAGAAAGTCTAATAAATACCCTCCTCAAATAGCATTAGTGGGATCCTGTATGCTTGTTATATTTAGCTGATCTCTTTTTCCCATGTAGATGCATTCTACCTAATGTGAAGATATTTCACTCGTTTTAAGTGTCAGTTTGTATTTCTCTTCAAGGGCATGTGCTTAACATTAATATCTCCCCGTTTTTTTCCCCTTCAGAGTCAATGTTGGAAGGCTATATCGCATGGAAGGACTATAGCACATGGAAGAAAAAGCTCATACCAGGACATCTTTGGTTTCCAGGTTACCAAAATATGGAACCAAGCCTGCTGGCAGTACCTTATCGCCTGTTCCAAATGGGACGGCTCCTCACCTTTCAGGGAATGCACAGATCATTGACAAAAATTTCAGCAAGCACAATGGCACCACTCGTCTGTCTTCCTTTGCTTTTAACTGGAGAAAGTCTAACAAATTTCCTCTGGGAGATCGGGTCGGTAATGAATATAACTCCAGTCAGGATCCCAGTGAACGAGTGACTGGATTGAAAAGGTGTCCTCAGTCCGAAGGATCAGTTGGTCAGGAAGAGCTTAGGACCAGTTCAAAGACCGCATTTTCAAAAACAGCGAAACAAGACAACGTGTTTGTATCGCCCGCGGAAGAATTAAATCAGAAATGTTTATCGGGTCTGTCTAATTCTAAGTACGCCAAAAGTTCTTTGTTAAGCAGGTCTTCCTATTCTGGATTTAACACACCAAAACAGCAGTTGAATGGCATTTGTGGGAACCAGTCGATGATAGGCTTGCAGAGGATTAGGGGGAACCATTTTGTCACTCGGAGTAGCTCAGGGGAGAGCCTGGCGAGAGCCACAGACCATGTTTCACCCGCTTGTGAAAAAATGGTCCGGTCTCAAAGCTTCTCACATTCCCTTCAAAGCTCTCTTTTGCCTCCCGCATCTCTCACCCGATCCCACTCGTTTAACAGAGCGGTGGATCTGACAAGGCCTTACCAGAATCAACACCTAGCTCTTAGACCGTCTCAGAGGTCGAATCTCCTGTCAAGAAGTGCGCGCCAGTTGGATGTGCCCAACGGGAACGAACCTCCAAGATATGAATTTCCTAGGTCGTTGGCTGCTTTAGCACCTTCTCATGTCAAGAAACAGCCCCTCTTAAACGGTTCGGGGGACGCGTCTCCCCTGAGGTTCAGATCAGGCCGCCCTTCGTTGCTGAAGCCTGTCGGCCACCATTTGGGTAGAAAGATCCCCGTGGATGGCAACGCCGAGAAAGACGTTACTAATAGTTTAATGGAAGATTTGATTTCTGCGGATGTTAAAAGAGGTGCTGCGGATGCAATAGAAGCTCAGAGCGACGATTTTGTAGAGAGTAGCTGTAAAATGTGCACAGATGGCGATGTGGATGAAATATCAATATCTTCCCTGTCCTCTTCGGAGAAAAATGACCTTAGCGAAGATTTTAGCGATGATTTTATAGATTTAGAAGATCCCAGCCGAACCATGCTGATTCAAGAAGAGAAAGTTCCTGCTGAAAAGCTGGAAGATAGAAATGGAATGCCACCACATCAGCTACAGCTATCTTTTCAGGAAAATGAGAAGTCGAACTACAATAATGAGGAATGGCTGCATATACATGTGTCAGGTAAATATGCAGGGTGTTGTTTTTCAGTACTCAGTTTAGAAGCTAATGGAGCTCATAAAATGATGTTACTGATTCTCAAATAAACATTCCACTATTCAACGTTTTTATTAATGTTGTTAATCTGGAACGTTTGGCATTTTAAAGTCCTCATGTACATTTGTTTTTCAATTAATTGTAGTGAATGTTAAAATTCAGACCATATTTGATTTAATTGCACAACTTGAACATTTGAAAGCTACCATTGTCAGCTTAAGATGTGCTTAATGTCTATGGAGATTCTCAGTCATCCGGGTCATGGTTGTCCCAAAGATGCTTTTTCTGAAAGGCAACTGGACTTTATTGGGTTTTTTTTTTCCTCCTTGAAAATGTTTCAAGAAGCTTCTTGGATGAAAAGCAAAATGCTTTCAAGGAAAAAAAAAACCAAGAAAGCCCAATTGCCTTTCAGAAAAAGCACCTTTGGGACAACCATGACCCGGATGATTGAGAATCTCCATTGACGTTTGCATCAGTTGTCATTTCTAAATCATCTTCAAGATCAGCCTCATTTCAATATGAGCCCAGGATCAAGTCCACTTGCTTTTTTCTGGATAAACTCTGGTCTGGGGAAGCTGGTTCAGGTTCAGTAACCACAGTCAGTAACCAAGACAAGCTTCCTTAAATGTGTGATTGTCGACTAGGGTAGTACATTGTGGGTTCCCAGCCTTTGGCTTAGTGGAGTGGCATATGAAGGGCAGTTCTTTCCCCTTCAATAGGAGAAAGCTGAGCTTGTGTGGTTTAGCTTCCTGAGTGGGTCGCAGAATACAATTGGAGAGCTGCTTTGATGTGATAAAAGTTTTCCTCAGTTCCTTAGTCCCGAAAAGGAAAGTACTGAAGTGTTAAATTAAGAATCTGTATACTGTATGTATTTGTAATTAGGGTTTTTTTAAAAAATGTTATTTTTTTATTTAAGAAGTAGATGACAAGAGTGAAACTGCCAAACTTCCCACTGGGAACAATGAAATTTCTTCGGAAATGGATTACAGAGCTGGTTCCTCTTTTGAGCTTTCCCCCTCTGACAGTTCAGATGGGACCTACATGTGGGATGAAGAAGGGCTGGAGCCCATTGGGAGTGTCCATCCGTGCGGCAGTTATGATTCTTCAGAAATGAACAGCATTGTATGTATTCTTTGTTTTTATATTATGAACAGCATTGTATGTATTCTCTGTGTACACACAGACAAACACACACGTGCATACACACACACTGATACATTATCAGTGCCATGCAAATATCTGTGTTGTATCTCACATTAACTCCATCTTTTTCTGAGAATTCCATGGCTGATGCAGCATGTACAAAGATCTCAGTTTGAATAAAACAGGAAATGAGAATAATTGGAGAAGTTAGAACCAGAGGGGAGACTGGTTAATATAACAAGCTGCCTTTATAAGATTGGTTGGTCTTTAAATGTAGAAATAAGTGCTTTTGCTTATATTGCTTTTGCAGTTGTAACTTACAAACTTGTTCAATTGTATTAAGATCCTGTCAGTGAATTAAAATACTGTAAGTGTTTGTTTGAAATATTTTAAATAAGAAAAATAGATAGCAGAGGTCCTGCTCTTCAAAATTCTTTGGAAGTGTTTTTGTAGCTCAAGAGCAAGAGTGGTCAGTCTTTTTCGAAAGACAGTTGCTTAGGATATTGTCGTGCAGGGTGCAGCTATCCAAGCTATTGAGAATATTCAGTGTTGTATATTTTTGTCTTTGACCAGTGGCCTATGGAAATTGAGGGTGCACTAGAAAGTTTGTGAATGCTTGATGTTAAGCAGAAAATCTTAAACTGGTGGGCACTGCACACCAGAACAACTAGACACAAGGACAGTTTTCCCCCAAATGCCATCACTCTGCTAAACAACTAATTCCCACAACACTGTCAAACTAGTTACTATGTCTGCATTACTATTTTCATCCTTCCTATTACCTATCTCCTCCCACTTATGACTATAACCATGTTGCTTGTATTTTTACGATTTATATTGTTCTGTTTGTTTCCTAGTATGATTTGATTGCTTTTTAGTAACCTATGACTTACTAAGTGTTATATCTTATAATTCTTGATAAATGCATTTTTTTCTTTTTCCTTTTATGTACACTGAGCATATGCACCAAACACAAATTCCTTGTATGTCCAAACACACTTGGCCAATAAAGAATTTTATTTTCTATTTTTCTATTCTATTCTATTCTATTCTATTCTATTCTATTCTATTCTATTCTATGACTGATACCTTGTGGAAAGTGTAGAAAGTTTGAAAACTTTAATTCTTCCTTTGATGGAGAATGCTGATACTATATATGCTAATATCACATGCTAGTTTCTTAAGGTCCCACAGAAGCCTCCTCTTAATCCTCACAATATGAATTTTTCAGCTGTCCTGTTTGAAAACCCCCCCTCTAATTTAGTGATTGGCTTCTATCTGTAGGTAGTCCTCAACTTACAACTACAATTTTTGTTACTAAGTGAGACAGTTGTTAAGTGAAATTTTCCCCTATTTTACAGCCTTGTTTGCCAGGGTTGTTAAACAGATCACTGCAGTTGTTAACGGTTAAGTGAATCTGGTTTCTTCATTGACTTGCCAGAAGGTTGCAAAAGGCGATCATGTGATCCTGGAACACTGCAACTGTCATGAGTACATGTCAGTTGCCAAGTGTCCAACTCTTAATCACGTGACCACAGGGACGTTGCAAAGGACATAAATGTGACAGTCATAAGTCACTTTTTTCAGTGTTGTTTTAACTTCAAACGGTCACTAAACAAATAGTTGTAAGTTGAAGCTACTCGCAATATCTTTCATAGTGAAATAAATGCAAAAAATTGAGGTTTTTTATTCTCTGATTGCCCTTTCTCTAGCACTTCCATTTTTTTTGATTTAACAGTACAGCTATCCCCATTGTTGCTTAATTCTTTTAGATATATTTTTGAAAAAAAAAATGTCATTTATCATTATAAATATATGAAACCTGAAAATTAGACAGGAGGGAATATTAATATGACATTAAGATTTATTAGATTAATACTCTGAACATTTTTCATTTTAAAGACTACGAGGATTCTTTTAAGAGTCTAGCTACAATATTTTATCTCTTGAGCAGTCAGAATTTTTATTTGGATTTCTGCAAGGTTGAGCAAGCTTATATTTTTTTCGAGTGGTTCATCATTTTTAGCAGTTGTATCAATTTTGTAACCCTGTTTTTGGTCTTTGGCCCCAATGGCAATAAAGAAACACAAACACAGAGGCTGAAATTGCCCACTGAAGAGATAAACGTGCTCGCTTTGAAAAAGTTAACTTTGTAAACTTCTAGTAATATCTTGTTACCATCCACTAACTTTTCATTTTACTAAACAGGCTTAGAAATTTAAGACACAATCTTTCTCTTTTAGGAGCTGAAATATAAACACTAATGGGAATGTCCATATACAGTAGTGGCCAAAATTGTGGAAACCTTTTGGGAAAAGTGTATTTTTGAGGTTTGATGGCTTATAACACCACTCTTTTGGGGAAATTTCAAGATAATCCTATTCCACTGCTGGAATGGCCTGGGAATAGGCCAGACCTTAACCCAATTGAAAATCTATGGAGCCGACTAAAAAACTTGCTAGTCAGAAGTGACCCAGCAATAAAACCCAGTTAATAGAAGCCATCATTCAATCTTGGTTTCACATGATAACAGCTGCAGAACTAAAAGACTTGGTTCACTCCATGGGAAGATGTTGTAAGGCTGCAATTCATGCTAAAGATTACCCAATTAACTATTACAGTAACTGACATGGTGATAATTTTTGTATATCTCGTTTTTTCCTAAGTGTTTCACTTTTCTTCTTTATACTGCAACTGTTATTCTAATAGCAAATCCTTCATAAGAGTTATTGCATTACATTCTTGATTAAATTATCTTTCCATTGATATATAATTTTATGGTACTACTCCCCAAAAAAGTGGTGTTATTAGCTAGTTTTAGAAAATACACTTTTCCCAAAAGGTTTCCACAGTTTTGGCCACTACTATTAATACAGTCCTGTATTTGAAAACACGGTGTGTTAAGCTGCCTGAAAAAGTCTAGGTGATTTTTGGTGCAACTTCTCTCTCCTTCCCAAATTTAAATACAGTTGAGACTGTATGATGTTGAATATTTTAAGCAGTTCTTTAGAAATGTTGTGAGTAGAGGCTAGGTGGCAGCACAACAGTGTGCAATAACTGGTGTAAACATTGCATGTCAGACTGATGTCATATTTCCTCTTTCTGATTATGTAATTAACTTGGCAACAGTAGTACCAATATTCACAACTGTATTTATTTATTTGTTCCTGAAACAAATGAAGTTAACTGTATGCTTCACTGATCACATGTGCTTACAGTTTGTGCCAAATATCCAATTGCCTAGAATTTAGCCTACTTTGCATGTCTATCTTTCTAAAATATATCTTGATTAAAATGGCCTCGTTTGTAGAATTCTGACACTAGATCCAAAATGCCATTATGGCTGTTTTGTGCCACCTAGAAAGCAATCTATGTTGTTATCCACAGGTAATAGGAATACCATGGCATAGATGCACATGTCATTTGAGAAATATATATGCTTTTGTAATTAAGAAGCAGACGTTTTAACTGCTGTGTCTTCTTAGCACAGGGGTCTCCAACCTTGGCAACTTTACGACTTGTGGACAAGTCCACAAGTCTTAAAGTTGCCAAGGTTGGAGACCCCTGTGCTAAGAAATGAAAATGGCAGTATCCGTATCTGTCAATGTATTCTATTTTGTCACACTTTACAATTTGGTTCATTCAAAGTGGCCCTGTGTGTTCGTAGTATTAAAACAGAAATGTTCTGTGGGCATGCAATAAATATTTTCTTGCATAGAGCCTCTGCCTAAAAAGTAAGAGTGTTCTCTGTTTAATTTTAGTTTACATACTAAATGCAGATAAAAGAGTATACATTTTAAAATATTCCTTCAGTGCAAATTTATATAAAGAGGGCATTCAACAATCTGTAATAATCCCCCTGAAGATATTAGTGCTTTGTGCGTTAAAGAATCAGGGGAAGGGGGTTAATTTTGATGTGGCAAAATTTGCAAGGGAGCAGAATGATCAACACAGGGCAACAACGTGTAATTATAAAGGAGAAAAGGGAGTTGGCATAATCTTCCTTATGGCTTATTATTCAATTAATTGTTGCATGAGTGATGATGTAAGGGCCAGGGCATCCATTTTCTCAGGTATACAGAGATAGCTGGTTACAACAAGCCAGGGAGACAAGTCAGGTAATAACACAATTTAAAAAGAAGAAGAAGAGAAGAAACATGACTTCTCTTACTTTTTAATCCTCATTTTATTTGTAAATCATGGGAATCCTAACTGCAGAAAGCAGAAATCCATCCATCTATCTTGACAATAGTAATATTCTTAGTACGAGGCATTTCTAGAGACCTTACTTTGTGAGACAGCCTGTTGCTCAAAAACGCAGTAGTAGTTAAACTGAGTCAAAAGTGTAGGGGGTTAGCACCCACCCCCCTCCTAGAAGAATGAAATATTTTAGGAAATATTAAAAAGGCAGAATATTATACCTCCCTGGATGAGAAAAGAAGAAATACGTTTAAAGACAAAGCAGCAGCTCCCTGCCCCACCAGATCCAGGGTGATGGAATTAAGACATGGCCCTCAGGATATAATAGGATTAGCCCTCTACCCATCTAGCAACAGAACTCACCACATGGCACCTGGGGGGATTGCATCACTCCGCAAGATTCAACCAAGCCTGGGACTCAAGACAACTTACAAAGTTACCCCTGCATGGCCCCATGGAAGTTTGACAACCAATCAGAATATATTTTTTACACAGGAACAGGAAGCTCCAAGGCGGGGCTCAAGAGGGGGTATAAATCTCTCTCTCTCTCTCTCACCCATGTGCTCATTTTGCCCAGGACCTCAAACCACGTAGTCCTGTTCACCATTAAACCATCTTTCCAAATAGCCTCCATGTTTCCAGTGTCTTTCTCCCCACTTGGAACTGAACCCAGATGGATATTTCTTCCAACAAAAGTCTTCAATGGTTTTTTGAGCATTTATTCTCCCTGCCTGCTCAATAAAAACGGAGTACAAATTCGAGATTTAGTCACGATTTGTACCTTATAAAATATGGACCCTGGCTTTTTTTTAAACTTTAGCTATGCTGGCTGGAGAATTCTGGGAGTTGAAGTTCACAAGTCTTAAAGCTGCCAAGTTTGAAGACCTCTGGCATACACAAACATTTGACTACCATCCAGTGGTGAAATGTAAAATTTGTTACTACAGGTTCTGTGGGTGTGGCTTGGTAGGGGGGTAATGGGTGGGCGTGGCCAACTTTTTTTTTTTACTTTTTTACTTTTAAAAGCATTTTTTCTACAACCTTAAGAGATTGCAGAAAAAAAATGCTTTTAAAAGCCTCTGACGATCCCAGCTGAGCCACGTGATCATCAGAGGCTTTTTTTTTTTTTTACTTTTAAAAGCATTTTTTGGTCGAAGAGGTTGTAGAAAAAATACTTTTAAAAGTTAAAAAAAAAAGCCTCTGATGATCGCGTGGCTCAGCTGGGCATGGGGGGGGGAGGGATTTTTGCTACAGGTTCTCCAAACCGTCCGCTGCCATCGCTACCGGATCGGGCGATTCGGTCTGAACTGGGAGCATTTTACCCCTGCTACCATCCTGTTACATTTATGGGTTGAATATCTTAATTATCTATCAAATGCAAGGCTCAAGCAAGGCTTGAGATGATTTTTCTGGAGTTTCTTTTTTTTTCTTTTCTTTTTTTTGTTAAAAAAGAAACGTGTATTGTTCTGCTTTTCCACCTAGAAACCTGTCAACATTTTTGCTTTCAACCAATTAAAGCTGTACATTTTTCTTATTGTGTGAAGATGACCTTTTGCAGTAAGCAACCTGCAGGATTGTAGAGGTCATTCTGTGTCACGCTGAGCAAAAGCAAGCCTATGAAAAGAATGTGGCTGGAATCTCAGTCGATGACGATCAGTCTTATTCAGAATAAAGCAATAAATTTGTTTTTAGAAACTCATCCTGGAAGAGTTAGCAGGGAAGAATGAAATGAAGAGATTGTTTTTATTGCAAGTGTAAGAAGCCATAATGAAGAATCTCTATTTTAAACTCAAGGATATTTTAATGGACTTAATTTATAATTCCAAATGCTCTGAATTACTATTTATGAATTACCTATTACATTGGTATTATTACAGTAGTTTAACAAAGCAGTAGAAAAAGGAGAAAGATTGAAAAAAAACTTATTTTCATGCAAAAAGGCAGTGATCTAATGGCTTTAAAGAATATCAGGAACATGGAGATCTCATTTATTATGGATTGCTACTATACTCTCTAATTTGAATTTTTTTAATGAAACATATTTTTCCTTACATCTGATAATTAGTATATAGCAATTAGAGATCCTGCAGTAGTTCAGAGTTAATTTGGAATAAATGCTGTGGAGTTATAGCGACACAGGTACAGCATCTCTCTCTGGCCTCCTAAAGCAGTCATGTCAGTCTCCAGGGTTACACAGCTGCAGTCGCTGTCAATTCTTTATTATATTTATTCTTTATTATTTTTTTTTATACCGCCCTTCTCCTGAAGGACTCAGGGCGGTGAACAGCCATAATAAAACAATATACAAGACAAATTTAAAAACCATATTAAAATAATTCAGTTTTGGCCAAATTTAAAATTCCCATTCTAAAACCCTTATAAAACCATATTTAAAACCCGATTAAAATTATTGTCCCATCATCAATTCTGAAGAAGAGGGGGCTACTTTAATAAGTCACAACTAAATGTTGCATTTGCTCTCTAGCCTATTCCCAAGTATCATTTCTGAATTACATCTGAACCACTGCCATGACATTGCCATGACATCTATGAATGTGGGGCCCTTGATGCTCTCTGACCTTGGTTGTTTTCTTGCATGTGTTTCATTACCCAAATTAGGTAACATGATCGGTGCTAGAAGGGAGAAAGGTTGGCACTCAACCTTCTAGCACTGATGATGCCACTTAGTTGGGTAATGAAATGTCTGCCAGGAAACAACCAAGGTCAGAGAGCACCCCTCATTTCAACTCTGCACTACCAATATTCTCCTTTATTTTTTTTTATTTTTTATTTTTTATTTTTTTTTAATTTGATTTATATGCCGCCTTTCTCTGGAGACTCAGGGTGGCTTACAATGCGCTAAGCAATAGCCTTCATCCTTTTTGTATATTTATACAAAGTCAGCTTATTGCCCCCACAACTGGGTCCTCAATTTACCTACCTTAGAAAGGATGGAAGGCTGAGTCAACTTTGAGCCTGGCAAGATTCGAACCTGCAGTAATTGCAGGCAGCTGGTTTTAATAACAGGGTGCTTTAGACCACTGTACTACCAAGGCTCTTGGTAGTACAGTGGTCGCGGTGGGACACGGTGGCTCAGTGGCTAAGACGCTGAGATTGTCGATTGAAAGGTCGGCAGTTCAGCGGTTCAAATCCCTAGTGCCACGTAACGGGATGAGCTCCCGTTACTTGTCCCAGCTTCTGCCAACCTAGCAGTTCGAAAGCACGTAAAAAAAAATGCAAGTAGAAAAACAGGGACCACCTTTGGTGGGAAGGTAACAGCGTTCCGTGCGCCTTTGGCGTTGAGTCATACTGGCCACATGACCACGGAGACGTCTTCGGACAACGCTGGCTCTTCGGCTTTGAAACGGAGATGAAAACTGCCCCCTAGAGTCGGGAACGACTAGCACATATGTGCGAGGGGAACCTTTACCTTATGCTTAAACATTAAACACTTTTCCATTTCAAAAGTATGGGCAAATGACCCCAAATCATGAAGAAATAGCAGTGACCAGAAACTTGCCAAAGTTTGGTTTGGAGGAATGATTTCCACAACTGTAGTTGAGCAAAAGTCATTGTGCATTTTTTTTCCCCTTGGCTTCCTAGAGTCAATAAGAGGATAAAGAGTAAGGTTTGTTTCTCACCATGGCAACTGACATCCCTCTCCATGTGATTGTTTGGCTAGCCTCAGGCAGACTGGCAATGTGGTGGCAGTCAGTGGTTGCACCTCTGTGATTGGATACAGGCTGGGAGGTGGTCTTGAATCCCCCCCCAGGGTTGCTATGGCAACGGCAGTAATAAGCTTAAACCCAGCCTCTGCGTCTTGTCCCTGGTCTCCCTTCCTTGAGAAGTATTTTATTTTAATCATTCGTCATCTTTATTTTCTTTCCTAAAGGTATGGGACCTGCTTCACCGTTCAGCTGTGATGTAATGTAGAAGAGCAATTCTCTATGTATGGATAGGTTAATATCCAGCACTATTTGATGGATTTTTGTAAACTTAAAATATGTTGACTGGCCCCTTTTTTTTAAAAAAGAAGAAATACTGCCGTTTTGACTGTCATCCCTTTTGTAAATTAGTGGGGAAGATACAACTTTATCTGCTGCTTCTTCACTCAGTTAGTACAAAGACCTTGAAATCTACAGTGTGCTAGAATGAAAGAAATGAGTTTATTAATTCAGTTTACCCTTTTCTCTTTAAGGGACGAGTGAAATATCAATTGAGGGGAGGAGTTTACTGTAAAATATTAATGGGGCTGTAGTAATATTTCATTTCTACATTCGATTATGATGTTCTGATAGTTGTGAAAAGTCCTAGTTGCTTATTAAATCCAAAGACAAATTTCTTGTGTGTCCAATCACGCTTGGCCAATAAAGAATTCTATTCTATTCTATTCTATTCTATTCTATTCTATTCTATTCTATTCTAAATTGTAGTTTGTAAAGGTAATAACAGCGTTCAGAAAGACACATCTATCACCTGTGAAACCAGAAACATTTTAAAAACTTAATAAAAGTTTTCATAAATGCCTTTTGTCCCAGTACTGGGGACTAGTCTAATGGACATAGTTTTATTGACGCTATTGGGATATTTCTTCAAGGCCAATAATCAAATATATGCAAATCAAATGTATTACCTTCCAAATCCTTGGTTTTGTACCTGGAAAATATGATGGCTCCCCTGTGCTGCTTTATCTGTTTTTAACGTCCTTTATGTGATTTTCATAGCCCTTCCCCCATTTTAGTCCAATAATATTAAGAACATTCATAGAGATGCTTGATTAATTGAATGTCCTCAAGTCGCTTGCAACTCTTAATGACCACCTAGGTCAGGGGTGTCAAACTCAAGGCTCTTAGAAGTGCTTAGATCTGGCCTGCGAGGCCGCCCTGGAAACAGTAGACCAGCCTGTAGTGTTTCTGCCAGTGAAAATGGGCTCCTGAGCGCCATTTTCATCTGCCATGGCCTCCTGCAACCCTCTGCCTCCCGAGCTCCGTTTTCGCTGGCAGAGCGCTCAGGCCATCACAGGCGCCTCCAACAGGAGTGACGTCGAGCTGGCCATGCCCCCCCTCCCCTGGCCCCCCGAGGTCAAACACAACCCTGATGCGGCCCTCAATGAAATTGAGTTTGACACCCCTGACCTAGGTAGATTTTCTCCATGAGGATCCATCCCTTATTATTGTGTTCTTCCAAGTCTCCCAGTGGTTCCCCATTGCCAGCATAATTGAGTCCCCCCTCCTTGTTGCTGGTCATCTCTTCCTTACTTTCCTAGACATATTTTAGCATTTGAATATAATTGTATTATGTTTGTCATTGTAGCTTTAAATGATGTTTTATAGTTTACAAGTTTCTATAAGTTAATGCTGAAATGGGTGTAATTTTTCCTCCTTGTATTTTACGCTGGACTATGGCCGAAATAAAAGATCTGTTTTAACCTGAATACTTAGCACCTATTTGAAGAGGCCTGGGGGTTAATTATTGCTTTTCACTTCAATACTAGCTGTGCTGGATAGTTGGAAGCTGCTCTGATCATTGACCATGATAAAGTTCTCTTCTGTAGTTGCAGAAACTTTCAAACTGCATGTGTGTTAGTCGGACTTCGAGAAACACAGTCCGGTGGGCTCAGCTTGAAGCCATTTCTCGTTCCTTGCAGGATATCCTGAACAACCTTGAGTCCTGTGATCTTGAAGATGATGATCTTATGCTTGATGTCGACTTACCTGAGGACACACCCTGTGATAATGGTTAGTGAAAGGATCCTTCTGAAGTGTTCTGATCCAGGCCCAAGTAGGTAGTAATCGATGCAAACAGTTCCAAAACAAACAGACTTTATTAGAACAGCTGAGAATTAACTCATTCTCAGCATAGTCCAAACTAAATTAAAACAAACTCTTCATAACACAAATTCTTCAGTCTAATCACCAACCTTGGTATAATTAGGCCAACTGCCAAAGGCTTCTCTTGGCAAAAGTTCAGAAGCAGAAGACGCCGACCAGAGATAAGTGCAGCAAGACTATCAACATTGTTTTCCGACAAAGAGCCCAAGAGCCGTTGCTGGCCTTTTAAGCCTTATGGAAGGGGCCAATCATCTCTTGGTCCTACTCCCGAGTCGTCCTCTCTGCTTTAGCTGCTCTTGCCTTCTGGCAGCTCTTCTCATACGTGCACTAGGAACAGGCTCCTCCTGTTCCTCTGCCTCTCTACTGTCAGCCTCTGGAGGCTCCAGAGTCTGCACATCACTCCCCAATGGCCCTGGCCCCATCTCTGCCTCTGACGAAGAGCCCTCATCCAGGCCTTCCCCAGCCTCGAGGACTGGCCCATGTTCTTCCTCAGCCTCATCGCTGTCTGACTCCGCTGCCAGGTCCTCAGGCTGCTGGCGGACCATAACATGAAGTGTCTGGAGTCTGTATTACTGATGCTACTTTGATCTCAGCTTTGATTTCTATTAAGCCAAGAAAACCAACAACTATAGAGTGGTCATCCCGTGAAATCTGTAGGACACCAAGGCTGTGCCTATATAGAGGCATTTATCTCAGGGTACCTCAGGGCTGACCAACCTTGGCAACTTTTAAGATTTGTGGATATCTATGGAGATTCTCAGTCATCCAGGCCATGGTTGTCCCAAAGGTTCTGGGAGTTGAAGTCTACAAATCTTATCCCAAAGGTGCTTTTTCAAGAGCAACTGGATGTTCTGGTTTTGCTTTGAAGACGTTTCACTTCTTCTTGGATGAAAAGCAAAACGTCTTCCAAGCAAAACCAGGAAGTCCAGTTGCCTCTTGAAAAAGCACCTTTGAGATAAGATTTGTGGATTTCAATTCCCAGAATTCCCAAAGGTGGCTGAGGAATTCTGGAAGGTGAAGTCTACAAGTCTTAAAGTTGCTGATGTGGATACCCCTGCCGTACGACTTCATTTTATGCCCAAGGAATGCAATGAATAATATCCCCACTGTTTAATTTTTCTGAAGTTTCTTAACAGAACAATACTTTTGAAACACTGTTTGCACAGAAGCCCATTCAGAGATTTCTCAGCTTCTGTTTTTGTCTCATTTTTAGAGCCAGCATTTTCAGCTAAGTCTTTTTAAATTAGTTCTCACTGATGCTTTTGGTATAATAGGGTTAAAATTATAGTGTATCCTTTTGTTTGTTTGTTTGTTTGTTTTTAAAAAAACACCAAAATCAACTAGCTAGATAAGTACACAGAAAACCTTTCTACAGTCTGGAACTTAAGTAACCAAACCTTTTAATTTTACATCCAGAGCAGAGTGATTAGAATTTCAGTGGAAGGTTAGGAAAAATCCGAAGAGAGCCAGCGTTGACTGTAGGTATAGACCGGGTTTCTTTTTTACTGGATGCATTCAAGTCTTGCTTTAATGTGGGTTCAGAAAACAGATCTTGGATTCAGTGGCCGCTTTCAACTCCCAAGATTCAGGAGTTAACTACATCTTGCCCGAAGACTGATTGACCCTAGCAAATGCTAAAGTAATTTGTAGGTTTGTAATTTTCTGGCTCCCTTTTGGAGCCTGTGATGGAACTTGCCCTCTATTTATAGCAATTGTTCTGTGGCAAGAAGTATGCAACTTGGAGGACGGGAGTTGTAAGTCACAGGGTCAAACTGGGCTGCTTTCCCAACTCTACGCAAGCAGGGAATGGTCAGGAAGGAAGGCCTGTTTGTTCCCGTCTTCTGCAAAACTATGAGTGGGCAGCCGAGCAACAGCTAGGAAAAGGGCCACGCAGCCAAGGCTTAGCCATGAGAAGAAAAACAGTTTTAGGTAAGTGGAAAGCTGAACGGGTTTCTTCAAACTTTTCTTCCCCCGCTGCGCTTCTTGGTTTGGCTTTTAAGATTTCCAAACAATTGCCTCATCCAGTTGTCAGAAACCAGACTGTTGTTTTGGGAGGCACTGACGGATGTGTTTTTTTTAGAAGTTTCATGTTGCATGGTAAAACGAGTGTTCTGAAACCTTTCCTTAATTAATAAAACTCTTCAAAGATAATGTTTCATCATTGATTATATAAGTGTAGGGGAAAATCCTTGCGAAGAATAGAGGCAGTTTTGTCTGCTTTAAGTTGTGTTCGGAGAGATAGCAAAGGAACGGCTTGATTCTTTATTCCTCATGCGGCTAAAGAAAGAATTTAAATTATTGAACTGCAGTAGCAGCTTTGCTATACTGGAAGCCAGTTAATTTAGCACAACTAGCATCGTATTTCTGTTGTTTGATGTGTTATGGAGAAGAAAACTTGAGTTTCACATCTTGATGTAAACTTGAGATTTATATCTTGCCTCTGATCATCATCATATTGTGAAATAAAATGTCATTTTTTATGCCCGACCTAATTTATGTGCAATTCCTTGACTTCATTATGGCCAACTGTGAGTTAACTAAGAGTGCCATCTGATACCTGTTTTGGTTTTTGTGTTGATACTAGTTCTGCTTAAATCAGAGTTGCTATATTTTCTTCTGTTGATACAGAGGAATATGACAATATGAACCGTTATGAGCGACCGGACAGAAATATTCGACAGCAGAAAGCAGAGGGACTCTGGAAGAGGACACCCCAGAGGTGGAATACTCAGGATCATTATCATCTTAGTCCCACTGAGCACTATTCCCACGTCCGAAATGATCTGAACAGGTGTGATTCTCAGAGGAGGAAAAGGTTGAAGGTTGGGGTTTGGGATCATTCCAGCAGCCATTAATCATTAGAAGTCGTCCCCCCCCCCCCCGAGTTAAAAATCTACAGTGATTCTTAGAAAGAAAAGACAGCAGTCCAGAGAATTGTCAAATGTCCCTAACTCAGACAACAATCAACACCTTACCTTGAGGTTGAAATGGCTGTTTTCCATTCCTGATGGGCTACTTTAATCTTTCTGAAAAGATTTCAAACTCAGGGCAAAACAGTTGAAACGAGGCTGTTTCTCACTGAAAGCTTCTCCAAAGTGACTGCGACTGTGTTGAAGGTGAAATGTTCACCTTCACATTTGATATATAACACGCAATAGCCAAAACAAAAATGAGTCTATGAGAGTGAGTTATATGTATGATTTATCAATCAATGAGCGCTAATATTTTAAGATTGCACTTTGTGTGAAGATAACTGGATGGCCTACAAGGCAAGAGCAAGAATAATCATATTAAAAGCAAAACAACAAAATGTGTGTAGGACAGAACAAATGAAACAGTATAAATAAAAATGGTACATATATTTTTCAGTGCCTGGGAAAATAAGGCTTGACTGAGGGTGAAATACCAGTGACACAAGTGCAAGGTAAACTCTTGAGGGAAACCCTTGAAAGTTGGAAAGCCATCATAAAGGAGATCCACTGCCACAGCCAAACAGTTTTTCTGGCAGGGATTCAGAGCAGAGAACAACCATCTGATCTTGAGCAACTACAGTAGTGGCCAAAATTATAGAAAGCTTTTGGGAAAAGTGTATTTTCTAAAACCAGCTAATAACACCACTTTTTTTTTTTTTTTTTGGAGTAGTGGTACCATAAAATTATATATCAATGGAAAAACGAGATATACAAAAATTATCACCATGTCAGTTACTGTAATAGTTAGTTGGGTGACCTTTAGCATGAATTACAGCCTTACAACGTTTTCCCAGCGAGTGAACCAAGTCTTTTAGTTCTGCAGCTGTTCTAATGTGAAACCAAGATTGAATGATGGCTTCTATTAACTGGGTTTTATTGCTGGGTCGCTTCTGACTAACAAGTTTCTTTAGTCGGCTCCATAGATTTTAGTCGGGTTGAGGACTGGGCTATTCCCAGGCCATTCCAGCAGTGGAATAGGATTATCTTGAAACTTAAAAAAAAAAAAAAAAAAAAAAAAAAGTGGTGTTATTAGCCATCAAATCTCAAAAATATACTTTCCCCATAAGGTTTCCACAATTTTGGCCACTACTGTAGATAGAATACTGCATTGCTCTTAATTCAATACAGAAATGCACTTCTCCTGTGGAGACTTAATAAACAAAGGTTCTTTACTAACACCCTCCAAACTCTGTTTCAGGGGTTGCAACTATGTCGAATCTCCCCCTGTCAGTCATCTCGAAGGCTATGGGGCATCAGGCTTGTATCCACCACTGAGGAGTTTGCCAGCAAATACTGTGGTCTTGGATGAAATGACCCTTCGGCATATGGTTCAAGAGTGCACAGCAGTGAAAACCCAGCTCTTAAAAATGAAAAGAATACTCCATCAGGTTAGTGAGGAGAAAAGGTAACATGTCATTACTTTTTTCTATTATGAAACTAAATATTTAATATTTAAAGACACTGAAGTTGGCTGCTGAAATAGTAATAAGCCCTAATGTCCTGGATCGTAGCATCTTGAATCGGAAATCCCTTGTTTTGGGTGTAAAAGGCACCGTCATTGAGCAAGATAGCTGTTTTGGGCAAGTTTTGGAAGTGTGCCAAGTGTACAAGCACTGTTGTGTACAGTACAAAATAGTCTGTTACAAACTTAATCCCTGTGCCCCGAAGAGTCTAATTTGCATTTCAGGTTTAGAAATGTTTTGAACTAGCACATATATGCGAGGGAAACCTTTACCTTTTACTTTACCTTCTAGTAGTAGTAGTAATAGTAAATATCCCCATTCCTGCAGAATGGAGGGTTGAGAGAAAGGTCATCCTGTCTGAGGAATGTCTTTTCCCAAATGCTGGGAATTGGGTTTTCAGGTTAATGGATGTTGCAGTGGATGGGGGTTTAGCAACCAGAGCATCACTTCGAATAGCAAGCATTTTTTAAATTGATTAAAACTCAAAATTTTAGTTCAGTTCTGCTTGAGATTCAGCTGGCTGGGGAATTCGGGAAGTTAATAATAATAATAATAACTTCCCCTAAACCACCCAAACATCCACACAACAGACCAAATAATACTGTCCAACAGCTCACTGATGGTGGCCCTTTAGTTCATTGTTGAGTGCAATTATAGCTGTGGGGTAAAAACTATTCAGAAAACGTGTGGTCCGAGTTTTAATTGTCCTGTATCTTCTGTCAGAAGGCAACAGACCAAAAAGGTTGTAAGCAGGATGGGAAGAATCTCTGAGAATGTTATGCAACTTCCTCAAACAGCGAGATTCAAAGATGTCATCCAGGGTTGGTAGCTGGAGCCCAATGGTATTGTGGGCAGTTTTAATGATTCTCTGTAGAGCCTTTTTGTCCGCTACAGAGCTGCTCCCATACCATGCAAGAATGCCGTATGTCAGGACACTCTCAATGGTGCTGCGATAGGAGGACAGAAGTAGATGCTGTGATAGATTTATCTTCCTGAGCATTCTCAGGAAGTACAGCCTCTTCTGTGCCTTCTTCACAAGCATGTTAGCATTCATAGTCCATGAGAGGTCCTCCGAGATATAAATGCCCAGAAATTTAAAACTACCCACCCTCTCCACCTCCTCACCATTTATGTACAATGGTAGATACATCTCTCTTCCTCCTGAAGTCAATTATAAATTCTTTAGTTTTTGTGGTGTTAAATGTGAGATTATTTTCATTACATCACAGTGTCAGCCCTTGTACTTCCTTCCTGTAAGCAGACTCATTGTTCTTATTAATGAGCCCCACCACCGTTGTGTCATCCGCAAATTTAATAATTGCGTTGGTGTTATAAGTTGAAGGCCACAGGTGTTAAAAGTTGCCATGGTTGGACAGCCCTGATCTTAACTGCCGTAGGGAGCATTAAGGGGCTGGTTCTCATTCCTCACAGTCACAAATACTTTTGGCCTGGGAAAAGAGGATTAAAGTATCATAGCAGTATAAATCTGTTGGGTTCCTCCAGAGCTAATGCTGCCGCTTGCTGATTATGCTAATTGGAGTTGGAACATAAACTTATTAAACCATTCATGGCTCACATTGTGGCCCCAGCCGGGGAGAGGAATGTGGCCTGTTAACCAACAGGTTGTGATGTCAACCATGATGCCGTCTGTCTGAATACCAACGGTCAGCATTTGTGCTTCCAAAGGCAGCTCCGCAGCCCAAATTCCGGAAGACGGCTTCTTCCAGTTACTGTAGAAAATACATGAAGGAATATAGACCTCATAGAGGAAAAATAAAATTAGTAAAATGGGTTGCTGTCAATACCACGGGTATTTAAAACTTAGGGGGTAGTTTTAAAGCCACCCTTTTTAAATCACAGTTGTCTCATCTTGCAGACAGTTTTTCATAGAGAAGCTGATTTTCTCTTTCTTAAAATAAAAAAATAAAGGCCAGAGGGAAAGGTTTTCTCCACATTGGCTTAATTTAATTTAATTTAATTTAATATATTTTTTTAATTAGATTTATATGCCGCCCTTCTCCGGAGACTCAGGGCAGCTTACAATGCGTTAAGCAATAGCCTTCATACAAAGTCAGCTTATTGCCCCCACAAACTGGGTCCTTATTTCACCTACCTTAGAAAGGATGGAAGGCTGAGTCAACCTTGAGCCTGGTGAGATTCGAACTTACTAATTGCAGACAGCTGGAGTTAAATTACAATGCATTAGTCTGCTGAGCTATCCAGGCTCCTCCTAATTAAATTTATATGCTGCCCCTCTCCAAAGACTCAGGACGGCTCACAATACATTTTAAAAAATAATTATAAAAAAAACATTGAAAAATTAAAAACATTAAAAACTCATTCACGCCATTCATGGCTGGATCTCGCCAGATCACAAGAGTGAGATCAACGGCCCCAGGCCTGCTGGAAAAGCCAGGTCTTCACCGCTTTTCGGAAGGCCAATAGGGTGGGGATGGTCCGGACCTCAGGAGGCTTATTGGGCTAAGGCAGAGGTCTCCAAACTTGGCAGCTGTAAGACTTGTGGACTTCAACAGGAGCCTGGATAGCTCAACAGACAGAGCTCTGTAATTTAACAACAGCTGTCTGCAATTAAAGTAAGATCGAATCTCTCCAAGGCTCAAGGTTGACTCAGCCTTCCATCCTTTCTAAGGTAGGTGAGATGAGGACCCAGTTTGTGGGGGCAATAAGCTGACTTTGTATAAATATACAAAAGTATGAAGGCTATTGCTGAGCACATTGTAAGCCGCCCTGAGTCTCCGGAGAAGGGTGGCATATAAATCAAATAAAAAAAAAAACTCCCAGAGAATTCTGGGAGTCGAAGTCCACAAGTCTTACAGCTGCCAAGTTTGGCTAAGACCTGATCATCTACTCGAGGCCAAGAGCCTTTTAGTAGACAGAGACTTCAAGTGCTGCCTTTTGTAGACACCAAGACAAACACCTTGTTCCAGACCCAGCCTGGCATTTTCCTCTCTGGGAGAACACTGAGGAGATTTCCTCTCTTTTTTAAGCTCTATTTTAGAATGTTTGTGTGTTGTTGTTCAGTCACTAAGTTGTATCCCCACCCCATCCTCCATTCCTGGACTCTGACCAAACTCACATTCACTGCTACTGACTTAACCATTTCATCTTCTGCCGTCCCCTTCCCCTTTTGCCTCATCTGTGTACACGTTGCTTAAAAATGGGCATCCCCTGTTTCCAGTCATTGTGGTGCTAAAAGTCATAGAAGAGGCTTATGCCCCCCCCCCAAAAAAAACAGATGTGGAACCACATCCCTTCTGGATCTAAACACACCCCAGATGGCCTCGTTTTTTGTTTTATTTTATTTGCAACACCACTTTTATTTATTTTTCTGCCTTTGATTCCTTAATAAAAGTATTGTCAGAAACTGTACAGATGTATCCCCACCCCTCCCATGCTAAAGTTCAAGCTGCTTCTTCTTCTGTTGTTGTTGCCCAGTATTTTAGACTGAAAACAGAGTGTAGCTTTTTCCAAGCTTTTCGTAGACCTGACAGGCTGCAGAAAAGGAAGAGGGTTTGTTTTCTCAAGTGATTAGGACAATGGAAGGAACGGATGCCTGAGAGGGCAGGACTAAGGGGAATTTTCTTCATGGCCATGTCTTGGCTCTGCCTTCTCAAGGAGAAGAGAAGCCTTAGTGGGCTTCAGCTTTTGGAGCTGAGGGTTCCTCAGGAAAGAGAGAAAAGCAAAGGGAGATTAAACAGGAGAGCAGTGCAAGGAGGCTGTGGGCGTCTGGAAAATACCCAGCAGAGGCAGTCGGGAGTATCCAGCCAGCTAGTTGAGGAATTCAGGATGGAATAGTTTCAGAAACCTCAAAAGGAGCAGATCCCCCAGAGGCCAGGTTGGAGAGGCCTATGTGTTGCAGAGGTAGGAAAGTGAGCCCCAGAGCAAGTAACCGAGACAAGGCTTCAAGCACTTGGCAAGCATCAAAAACAAAGAGCTCTTTGTATACTTAAAAATAGGCGCAGGCCTTTGCGCCATTGAAGGTAGGTTTAGAGCAGCCGCCAAGAAAAGGCAGATGAAAAACGAGTATCTAAATATCAGAAGAGTCTTAACTTGCTCCCAGTCTTGGGTCTGGCTAGTCTAAAGAAAAGAAGAATTAGGGGTGACATGATAGCAGTATTTCAGTATTTGAGGGGCTGCCACAAAGAGGAAGGGGTCAAATTGTTCTCCAAAGCACCAGAGGGCAGGACAAGAAATAATGGTTGGAAACTCATCAAAGAAAGAAACAACCTGTAATTAAGGAGAAACTTCCTAACAGCGAGGACAATTAACCAGTGGAACAGCTTGCCACCAGAAGTTGTAAATGCTCCAACACTGGAAGTTTTTAAGAAGATGTTGGATAACCATTTGTCTGAGATGGTGTAGGTTCTCCTGCTTCAGCAGGGGGCTGGAGTAGATGACCTCCAATGTCCCTTCCAGCTCTATTCTATTAGCCCATCTAGCAAAAGTCAAAGTGTGGGACTGGCTGCAGTTAATGGGCCCTGCAGTAACCCTTGAAGGCCCAGAAGGGGGGTTTCATGCTGGCTGTGGTTGTAAAAGGCCCAGGAGAAGCAACGGTATCCAGTAATTATGAAGAGCTAAATCAGCCAACCAGAAATGACTGCCAGTGATGGCAGCAAGCCACAGCGGTTGTGAGGATGGACTCTCCTCCAGGCTGCCTCTGAGTTGACAAGGTCTTGGAATAAGTTGCTTTATTTCATTGCTTTGGTCAGCAGAGGGGAGAGAAAATGTGTAATTCTTGCAAGGATATCAAAGGCCATTACAGAAACTCTGGGCAGTTGTGTTAAATTGTTGATTCCTATTGCTTTTCTGTTTGTTGGCTTATTTTATAGTTTGGACTTACTGTAGGATCTGTCCCTCATGGAGAATTTGGGAAAAGAAGGCAGCTGATAAAGGTTTTCTGATTTTAGTTGAAAAAATGAAATTTCTGGGTTATTCTTCATGCAACTATCCACTTACACTCCTTCCTTTTGTTTATGTTAGATTGTTCAACTGGGGTTTAAAATTTTTAAGCCTTAATTTCCTAAGTCTCGCTATCTTTGTAAGATTTAGATGCTCAAAACAACAACAAAAAAATGTTGCTCTTTTGCAGAATGATGAAAACATGTCACTGCACAACATCACACTCCCAGTGCCATCAAGTCCAGAAGAGGTGGAACCTGAACCAACATATAAGGTAATTGGAGATGAGACCTTAAAATGGAATTGCCCAGGATATTGAAGAGGCTTGGTTCTGCTAGGAAAATCACACCAGACAGATCACAGATATACAATCTAATATCTGTTCTAAACTATTTATATGTTTTATTTAAATAATTCCAAGCTGCATGTTTTTCTCAGGGTTGGGATGCTTGTACTATCATCTTAAGTCCCCAAAATAGATTAGGCACTTAAATAAAACTATTTTAAAAGGATCCGTGTAGAGACATAGAATTTAAGGCAATAACGTAGAACAGGAACAGAGGTTAATTAAAATAAATGGGCATACAAAATTATTTAAAAATCGGACAACACATAATAGAATAGACCTCTCTAATTAATACTTTTAAACATGTGAAAGTGAGAGAAATGCAAACACTGGAAGGCCTTTAAAAGTTAGATTAAAACATGAATATAAAAAACATCACAAACAAGTAATTTAATAGACTTGAGTGGGGAAAATGTCCAATTATTTAATTAATAATAAAACCGTAAATGTCTGAGCTATGATCTAAATGAAGATTGTACATAGGCAGTCCCTAACTTATGTAATATTCCATTTTGGAAAGTATTGCACAATCCAGTTTTTCAGAATAAATTGAGTTATACTTCCTACATTTTTGGATGTGCTGTGTAAATTATCATATTTAATGTGTAGTTATAAATGTGGCATCCCCCAAAATGGCATAACTTTTTATGTAAGTCTGATAATATATGGACTGCGTGAATGATGGTAGCACTGGTAGAATGTTCACTACACATAACAGTTATTTTGTGTATGGCAAGTATCAGAAAAGTAATAGGTTTCCAGTCTTTTTAACTTTATTTCTCCTCCTAAACAAATGCCTGTGTCTTGGTACAAAACTATACATATCTGTCTTAGGCAAATGTTATTTATTTATTGAATGTATTCAGCATGTAATTGCTGAGGTCTCCCAGTGAGATGGATGGCAAAGAAATTTAATAAATAAGAGAAATATGAGGGTAGAGATACCAATAATACCTGCAATTTGTATCATTCTTAAACATTTGGTAATGTGAAATCCATTATTCAGTCCTGGTTTCAAAGCCATACTTTTTCCTTCTGCAGCAGATAATTAGACATTATAATATTTCTCAAAACACATTAATACCTTAATTGATGGAAATTATTTTTATGCCAGACTGACGAATTACTGAGTGAGATCACACGGCTGAAAGATGATTTAAAAAAGAAAGACGAGACCATCCAGGAGCTTGAACATCGTCTTGTAAGTAATCACGCCACACATGAAAACAAATGCGATCGTAATAATGGCAGAAAACGGTTGTGCCCCTTAGCTGCATGAAGATTTTAGGAAAGAAGCACTTATTGTATTTTTTGCTCCATAAGACAAACTTTTTTTTCTCCCAAAAGTGGGTGGAAATGTCTGTGCGTCTTATGCAGCAAACATGAGTGACAGGCAGCAGCGGCGAATTGTGGCACCAATCCCCACTGCCTGGAACAGCTGATCGGTGGTATTCTGGGAAGCCCATCTAACCAGCAATCAGCTGCTCTGCAGCGAAGGCTCCAGCGTTCCCTGGCGGAGGCAGCAGACACGGAGGAGGCAGCAATGGCGGTGTTTCCGGTCGGCCAGCCTGCTGATCGGTGGGGTTACGGGAGGCTGGGATCCAGCCGTCGCTGACTGGTGGTGGGTGCAACGGAGCGGAGCCCTGATGAGCCACGTGCTGGGGCTGTGATAACGTGCTGAAGCTGACCAGGCTGTTTGCTGCAAGGGTGCTAGCCAGATGAATACCGGATGGATGCTGGGAGGCAGAGGCAGATATTTTTTTTTTCTTTTTTTCCTCCTTTAAACCTAGGTGTGTCTTATGGTCAGGAGCATCTTATGGAGCAAAAAATACGGTAAATTTTCTCTCAGGAAGACCTGTGCTGTGTGGTGATTTTGGTCTACTCTTAGTGGATCTGTTGAATTTGAATTTGTATCTCCACTGCCTCTTGACTGAAGCTGGCTTTGGATCTCCCTGTGAGGTAGCCTCTGTGTGGCTGTTCTTGGTCCTCACCGGGTTTTCTCTCTTCTCTCTGCATGAAGACTGTTAGGTGTGACTGCCACAAAGGCAGTAAGATGCCTGAAGTGACCACGGGCGGCTTTGCTGACAAATTCACCCAGACCACCTGGAGAAGAAATACGGTGAGTCATTTACTGGAAAAGATGCTCCTTGCATAGAGATACTTGCTTATGCTATATATTTACTTTCAGTTGTATTATTGGGTATCATACTTCAAAATAGAGGTAGCCCTAGACTTAAAACCATTCATTTAGTGACTGTTCAAAGTTGCAACAGCACTGAAAAAAAGTAATTTGTGGCCGACCAGTCGGTCCCCACACTTGTGGCCTTTGCAGCATCCCCATGGCCACATGATCAAAATGAGGGCACGTGACCATTGGCATGTATTTATGACAGTTGTAGTGTCCCTGGATTGTACGATCACCATGTGTGACCTCAGCTGGTTTCTGAAATCACACATAGTGTCACAGTCAGTGGGGGAAGCCAGTTTTATTTTATTTATTTATTTTATTTGTTTCAATTTCTATACCACCCTTCTCCAAATAGGACTCAGGGCGGTGAACAGCCAAAGTAAAAAACAGGACATACAAAATTTAAAAACAGTTTAAAATAATTAGATATTTTGGCCGTAAATTAAAACAACCCAAATTAAAATCAATTTAAAATTTAACTCAAGCCAGCCCAGCTAGTTGAAATAAATAGGTTTTCAGGGCCCGGCGAAAAATCCGGAGTTCTGTTATTGTACGTATCTCTGGGGGGAGGTTGTTCCAGAGGGTGGGCGCCGCCACAGAGAAGGCTCTCCCCCTGGGGGTCGCCAGCCGACATTGTCTGGCGGACGGCACCCTGAGGAGGCCCACTCTGTGCGAGCGTACTGGCCGGTGGGAGGCTATTGGTGGCAGAAGGCAGTCTCGTAGGTACCCTGGCCCTAAGCCATTTGCTTAACAGTTGTCTAATATGCCTAACAATTCCAGGGAGTTGCTTGGCAAAACCCCTGTGAAGTTGGATGTGATTCAATTAACAACCGCCTTGTTAGAAATGGACATTTTGGTTCCAATTGTGGTTGTAAGTCTACAACTATCTGCACTCCATCATTGCTCTAGTGCAGGGGTGTCAAACTCAAGGCCCGGGGGCTGGATCTGGCCCACGGGGTGCTTAAATCCAACCTGGGGGGGAGGGGGGCAGCCTAGAAATATCAAAGGACCGGCCCACAGTGTCTGTGCCAGTTTTTAGCTGGCAGAGTGCTGCTGGATGCCGGGCAGGCCGAAAACAGGTCGCATGGAGGCCCGTTTTCGGCCCACCTTCGGCCAGCAGAGTGTTGCAGGAGGCCATAGAGGGTGAAAACGAGGTGCGGGGGGCCATTTTCGCCAGCAGGGTGCTGCAGGAGGTGTCCGTCCCATCTCTCCACCCACCCACCCCGCTCCCCGCCACCCCCACCTGCTGGCCCGCGAAAGAGAACTACAATGCTCATCTGGCCCTCGAAGAAATCCAGTTTGACACCTCTAGTGTGCTCTAGTGTGTATACTTTATAATGATATTTTCACTATCACTTCTTTTTTTTTATAATCTTTATAAAAAACATTTATAGTCTTTAAGGCTTAGAATTCTAGACTTGCCTCATTCATCATATTTTAGGTACACATTCAAAAGGCGGGTATTATATATCCTAGATTCATTAATACTGGATTTTGTGGATTACATGGCAAAAGCGAAAAAAAAATTATCTCTGAAAAAACGGGGGGGGGGGGGGGCAATTCTGAATATATCTTATAACCCAGTCAGATTTAACACACTTTTTTCTAAAGTAGTGGGAACATTTACCAACATACATTTCTTTGACAACATTAATTTCTTGACCATTTAGAATCACTACTCCTAGTATTAAGTTTTCTTTGTGGTTCTGGAATTTAAAAAATACTACATTATACTATAATGTCCTACTCCAGTTTTAATTTTTAGTAATTGTACTTTTATGTAAGATAGAGACAATCTATAAAGTGTACACAGAGATAATTTACTGAAGATTTACCGTATTTTTCAGAGTATAAGACACACTTTACCCCCCCCCCCAAAAAGGGTGAAAATCTGGGTGAGTCTTATACTCCGAATGTAGCCCTGCCCAGCTTCTCAAACGGAGGTTTCAGAGGCTGAAAAAAGCATCAGAAATGAAGCTTCAGAAAAGAAGCCCCCAAACAGAGCTTCAGAGGCTTTTTTTCTGAAGCTCTGTTTCGGAGGCTTTCAGAGGTAGAAAAAAAAGCAAGGCACAGAGCTCACAACCAAGGAACCTGTTGCTAAAATTCACCTCTGGGAACAGCTGATTGGGGGTATTCTGGGAGGCCTATCCACCTGCCAATCAGCTTTTTTCTTATTTTCTTGTCCAAAAACTAAGGTGCATCTTATACTCCGGTGTGTTTTATACTCTGAAAAGTACGGTAAATGAAGTGGATATTGCATGAAATGCCAGGATAGCAAATGTCAGTGCAGTAAATCAAACACAACTGTAGAACTTGTTTGGAAAGTCACGCTAATTTTTGTTATTTAAAAAAAAATGGATATGTTGAAAGTTAAAATTTTTACAAAGGAATATACTAAATCTTTTTATAGTCCCCTTGAGGATTTCTTTTTTTTTTTTTCCCCTTCCCTTGTTGCCTTTGGGAATTAGAAAGGAATGAGCTCATTTTTGTTCTTGAAGATTTTTAGAGTTGGTTTACATCACAGAATTACCAAAACATGGTTCAACCCTAAAGCTTTCCAGGAAAAAAAAAAAGAATTAATTTTTCAGATCAGCTTGAAAAGCCATCAGGTTTTTTTTTTGTTTTCTCAGACTCATAGCTTTTAACCATCCTTGTATTTGTGTATTCTTCCATTTTTATTCCAGAAAATAAATGAAACAGGGCAGGAAGATATCGTAATCTATTTTTTTTTTCAAATAGATGAAAGAAAAACATGAAAATGTATATAACCAGATCTTTTCATTTCATTTCATTTATTTTTTTATTTATTAATTATATTTATGTAATGACATATACCAATAACTACACCTGGAGATTTACACAAAAGGTAGACTCCACCAAAAAAAATCAATATGCTTCTGAGTATTTTTAAAAATATATTAAACACATATATCTAATTCCTGAAATAGAAGTAAATACACGTATTTAAGTTCTTTAAAACAATATGCTCAGAATTTCCAAATAACAACCAAAGCTATAGTTGCACCTGAAAGATAAATCTGGAGAAATTTAATTAATCCTATTCCAATTGGCAAGCTTATTAAGTGCGGGCGGATGGCATAACTTTAGTTGGATGCATAGAAGCTTGACAAACATTTTCAATATGTTTTCATAAATTATCCTTTTTATTGAAAGAAATATTGAGTGAGATGATACCAAGGGTGGTCCCAGGCTGCTGTTACTGTATTAAATGAGGACGTGAAGGAAAGAAAGGAAATTCGCAGATGGCAAGAAGAAACAAACTTAAATGATTTTGAAAAGTTAGGGAAAAGACTGAAAATAACAACATTTAATCAGACAAGTTACTCTTTTTTAGAAATAAAAAACAAATTCATTAATAGAGGATTCAGGAAGGGCCTGGTGGCTCAGCAGACTGATAGCATTGTGATTAACACCAGCTGTCTGCAATTACTGCAAGTTCAAATCTCACCAGGCTCAAGGTTGACTCAGCCTTCCATCCTTTCTAAGGTAGGTAAAATGAGGACCCAGTTTGTGGGGGCAATAAGCTGACTTTGTATAAATATACAAAAGTATGAAGGCTATTGCTTAACGCATTGTAAGCCGCCCTGAGTCTCCGGAGAAAGGCGGCATATAAATCAAATTTAAAAAAAAAAAAAGGAGAGGTGAAGGAAGGATCTAAGAACTTAGATAATTATGAACTGAATGAGTCAGGAATCTGACCTTTGGGGTGTTATTAAATTATACTTTCTAAAGTACGAAAAAATAGTTTCTGTAGAAGTCAAACTTCTTAAGTGCTGCGTCCAGTTCCAGACACTTCACTGGAAGAAGAGTTTAAACCAGGGGTCTCCAACCTTGGCAACTTTAAGACTTGGTTGGAGACCACTGGTTTAAATAAACAGGAAGGGATGCACAAATGATCAACCTAGAGAGTCAGCTCCAGAAAATTAAGTCTTACAAGGAGACAGTGATAGAAGTGGAGGTTAGCCTTGTGAAGGCAGTTAAGATTCAACTCCTAAAGAGATGTTGTTCAGAAGAGATCAGGAACAGTCTACAGTGTGTGTGCAAACATATTTCAGCTGAAAGCCAGAGAAATTTTCCTGACAGTAAAAGCAATTTAGTAATGGAAAGACCGAGATAGAGAATAGATAACTCTGGATGCATTCAAGCAGAAACAAATAACTGCTTCTGAGACTCTCGTAGAAGCAGCTTACAGAGTAGCTGCTATTCAGGCCTGGGCAAAGATACAGCTGCTTTAATAATCCAAAGAAGGGACTCTGTTTGCTGTGAAGACCTCTTCTTTCAAAAGATTTATATTCAGGGGACTTATCCTGTCTTCTTAACTCTACTGTGGGGGTCCCCTATCAGAAATGAGAGATGGCCAGGACGGGGGCATTCTTAGTCCTGGGGCCTTGCTGATAGAATTTTCTTCCGTGAAAATTATTTTTTGTTTTCCAGATTTCTGAAACTTATAAAGTTTGCTTGGATACATTGTTTTAACTTGATTGTATATTCTATGATTTACTGAAATATTTGACATACATTTCCTTGGGACCTTCCTGGTGGGTGAAATCACTTACCTCCATTTAATTATTAGTTTTGTTCAAAATAACTAAAATTTCTGCAATTCCTTTTCCTGTTTTTTTTAAAATTTGCCTATTTTTAGTTTCTGCGTTGAGCTAACAATCTTTGGAAATAATTAAAAGAAGATCCCAGCAATTTTTATCAAGTTGGTTGTGTGATATGTTAAAATGTAAAGGGTAGTCCTTGATTTGCAACCATTGTTTGAAGTTGCAGTAAAAAGTAACTTGCAACTGGTCCTCACACAGACCGTTGCAGCATCCCCATGGTCACACAATTGTGGTTTGGGCACTCGGCAACCCTCATTCATTTATGACAGTCACAGTGTCCCATGGCCACCAGTCACGTGATGC